GTGTGATCATTCCTACCCCAAAACTCCCATCTTTTGGGACAGGGGCTCTTTGTCTTCTATGACCATTCCCACCCCAAATCCCCCCTCCCTAGGGACGGATGACCTGGATGACAGGACCATTCCCAACCCAATCCCAATCCTTGGGGATGGATGTCCTGGGTGACAGGACCATTCCCACCCCAAACCTCCCAAACCCCACCAAAGTGAGTCTGGGCAGCCCCGTGCTCAATGACATGAAGATGAGAATAGGGAATTCCGAGGGAATTGGGGGGACACCCCAGCAGCATTCCCACTCCTGGCTTCCCTTCCCAGCACCTCTCAGGGGCTCCCGGAGGTCTCCCAGGAAACCTCAAGGTGAGGAGGGGTGCACTGGGATTTTTTCATCCTGGGGAGATGATGTCAGGTTTTGGGAACTCAGAGGTTTGGTTCTATAGGAATGGGGGGCTTTCCATGGGAATGCCTCTCTAGGTCAGGGAAATCTTTGTTTTCACTTCCACGACAAGCTGAGCTGCAGTCCCTCTTCCTCAGCCAAGGCAAATTCCAGCTTTATGGAGTTCTGTTTGAGTAAATGCCAGAAATAATTTAATTTGGTAATTTACCACACCCTTATCCTAAAGTTTCTTTATTCCCTCTGTCAGTGACACGGCAGCACTTCGATCCCTCTAAAGCGTCTCCCAGTGGGGATCCACTGAAGGGATGTTTTTCTCAAGACCTTCAGGACATTTTCCCTCAGACTCCTGTGAGCTGGAGGTCCCTAACAGCAGAGGGACTCTGGATTGATGTCCCGGTGCCTCACCGCAGTGCCCGAGGGGCACAGCAGGGTGTCCCTGTCCCCATCCCAGGTGGCAAGAGCGAAGGTGACTCTGCCCTGCGCCCGGGGTCAGAGCGCGGCGGTTCCTGAGGTGGCCGTGCCTGTCCCCATCAGCAGAAGTGACAATCAGCTGCCAAGTGCCGGCGTGACATCCCCGGCAGCAGCAGCAGCAGCAGCAGCAGCAGCAGCAGCAGCAGCAGCAGCAGCAGCAGCAGCGGGCTGCCTGCTGGCTTTGGAAACGCCTTCTCATTTCCCTCCCGTCGAGGCGCTGGCGCGCACCCACGCGGCTTTCCAGGATTCCCTCACCTATTACTGCGGGGTCTCCAAAGGTTAAAAATGCTCCCTGCATTTCAGGCTGACGAGGATCAAGCCTTCTGCTGGCCTTATTGCCATGGCCCTGCGGGTCGAGGTCACCGAGCCTTCCCCTCCCCTCTACAATCCACGGGACCGGCCGCTCCCGGGCCATTCGGGGACCTCGGGAGCTTCCTCAGGAACCCGGGTTGTGGTAACTGTGCCTTTGCAGCCAGTTACCTGGAAAGAAGAGCTGGAATGATCCCTCTCAGCATGGCAGAGGGAGCTGCTTGCTTCCAATTTAAATCAGGTGTCAACGCTGAGAGAGGATCCTCTTAACTTCCACCGTCTTGTCTGAGGCTGCGGCGGGGGGACGTCTCATCTCCCTGCCGCCTAATCCGTGGAGATGTGTGATATAGCATAAGCTAATATAATAGGTCATGCAAGGATTTACATCTCATTACGGCAGGTTAGAGTCCTGGCAGGAAGGATGACTCATCCTCACTTGAATATATTTCAGGGATGAGGAACGGTTCAGCTGCCCGAGGAAAGGCAAATGGGGAAATCAACCACCTCGAAGCATCATTTCCCAGCTCGCTGCACCCTCTGATTGGCCTCCCGGCTCTGCCTCCAGGTGGGACACCGGCCTCTCCAGGAAAAGCTGAGGGGATGGGAGAGCTGCAAAACCTCTCTGGAGGTCTTTGCCTTTTGCTCCATCCCTGTAAAGCCAGGGCTGCAAGAGGCTGCAGAGCCCGAGCTGGTGAGCGAGCATCCCGCCAGGAGGGGCGGGATCCGAGGCGCTGCCCGGCTTGTTTTCACCTAGCTGCCTTGGCCCAGCGGTTCTGCTCGTCAGGAGCTGTTTGCTCTTAGTTCCTCAGACAGGGAGGCTCCGTGGGAGCTGACCCATCTAACCCAGCTGGAAAAAATCGGTCCTGACTTCCAGTCTCTTATTGTTAATGGATGCTCGCAGCGAAATCCAGAGTGAGCGGAGCTCCCAGGACCAGCCGCATCCAAAATCTGCTCTGAGCCCACACGAGGCTCGGGCCAGCACCCAAGGACACAAGCAGGGGTGCTGGTCCTTCTCCCTGCCCCTCTTTTCAGCCAGACTGACAGCCAGAACGTGGCCACGCTGCTGGCAATGGGACATCTGCAGGGTGCCCGGGGCTCCCAGCACATTTCTCAGCAAGGCTGTGCCAGCTCATTGTGGGTTAAAATTAATTTTCCATGGGTTCTCCATGGGAAAGCGCTTAGGAGAGCCTGCAGATCGGTGTGAAAAGCGAAAATCATCACTTCAAAAAGCTGTTGAGGCTCCTGGGCTGCCAGCTCCGGGTGAGCAGCAGAAGCAGGGGCACCTGCGTGGTGGGGGATGCTGTGGGTGATCTGGATTTGTGCCAAACGGAGGGAGCTCCCTCGTCCCAGCCCCACTTTGCACATTTGGATGGACACAAGGGAACTGCTGGCATCAGTCAGGGGGCTCTGCTCTGCCAGGAGAGCCCTCACCAGGACAAATCCCCTGTTGTCACCTCCAAGAGCGTGTCCCAATCCCTAAGAGCAGCACACTGCCAAGCTGCTGGCCAGATTATTGTCCTAGAAAAATGTGTTATTTTTTAGCCTATTTTTCTCTTAAGACATAATTTTACCTTGGGTGGGGGGATGGGAGGAGATGGGCCGAGCCCCCCTCCCTCTGTCACTTTGTTCTGTCGCTTCACAGCTGTTCCATCATTTTAATCTGCAGAGATTGTCTTTATATTTCGGAAATGAAATGATTTCCCGCAAGCCGGGATTGGGGTTTGGATTCACGCTCATTTTTCAGGAGCAGAGAAGAAAAAAGGGAGAAATGTCTGTTAAAGCCAGGCTGGCCATCTGGAAGGGAGGTGCGTTGCTGATGCCATTAATTGCTCACTCCCCAAGGCCTGGAATGCGGCTGCAGTCAAAGGGAAGAGCAGGAGTGGGAGTGGGGCTGGAGAGAGCCAGGGAATGATGCAATGCAATCAATGTTCTCCTAATTTAGGTGATCAATGAACGCCTTCATGCCTGTGTTCTGGGGGCTGAGAGCAGCTCCAGTATTAATTAATATAATAAAATCACGGGATTACACAATCCCAGAATGGCTGGAGTCAGAAGAGATCTTAAAGCTCTTCCAAGCTCCAACGCCTGCCATGGGCACCTTCCACTATCCCAGGTTGCTCCAAGCCCTGTCCAGCCTGGCCTTGGGCACTTCCAGAGATGGGAATACTTCCAGGGATATCGTTAATAGGATAAAGAGGAGGGAACTTTTGGGCACCAGCCCTTGGATGGATGAGCAAACAACAGCTGTGACTGCTGCTGGTACATATGGCTTGTTCCGAGTGTCAAGCCTGGCTTTTCCTCCTGCCAGACCCCAAGGATGGGGAATGGAGTGGGAGAAAGGGCGCTGGGGTGGGTTTGCTCCTCGGTGGGATGGAGCAGCCGGGAATCACGGGGGGAAGGGTGTTCGAGGGGCTCCCCACGGCCTCCACCGTGGCTCCATCCACCCCGGTGTCCCCGGGGAGCTCCGGGGCTCCTTCTCCTTCCCGCGGGGGTGCCGTCACTCGCGGTGCCCCGGGGCGGGTCGGGACGGCGGCGGCTCCTCCCGGCGGAGGGCGGCGGGGCCGGGGGAGGCGGCGGGGCCGGGCGGGAGGCGGTGCCGCCGCCGCCGTGCAGGGGCACACACACCGGAGCTGTGCGAGCCCCGGTGCTGCAGCGCCCGCTCCGCTCCGCTCCCGGCCGGGACCGCTCCGCCATGGGCGGCCGGGCGGCGCGGCCCCGCTGACCCCGCACACCCCGGCAGCAGCTCCGGCATCCCGGTGCTCCGGCATCCCGGCATCCCGGTGTTCCGGCATCCCGGTGTTCCTGCATACCGGCATCCCGGTGTTCCAGCATACCGGCATCTCCGCTCCGCTGACCCCGGCGTTCCTGGAGCTCCCGACTCCCCCGTCCCGGGAACTCACCTCGCGGGAACTCTGCTCCGCTGAGCCCGGCTCCTCCATCTCAGTACTCCGGCATCCCGGGAACTCCGTACTCCACTGGCCCGGGAACTCCGCTGCTCTGACCGCTGGTCCCGGCTCCTCGGGAATTCGGTACTCTGTCATCCCCGGAATTCATCTCCGCTGACCCCATCTCCTCCATAACCCCGTGCCCCAGCTCTACGGGAACCCATCTCCCCGTCCCTGGCTCCTCCACCGCCCGGTACTCACCACCCCGGGCACTCAGCTCTCCGTCATCCCGGGAATTCATCCCCGCTGAGCCCCTCTCCTCCGTGACCCACAGCTCCGTGACACCACAGCTCCGCGGGGACTCAGCTATGCTGACCCCGGCTTCCCATCACTCTCTATTCCGCCTCCCGGGAAATTCAGCTCTGCTGATTCCGGCTCCTCGGGAGTTCGATACCGTGTGAGCTCGGCTCTGCTGATCCCGCATCCTCCATAACCCCGAATCCCCGCTCCCCACGAACCCGGCTCCGCTGACCGCGGCTCCTCCCCGGGAGCTCGTCTCCCCTGTCCCCACCTCTCCTAACCCGGTGCCCCCGCTCCCCAGGTGCCCAGCGCGGCTCGTCCCGGCTCTTCCACCGCCCGGTGCCCAGTTCCCCGGACGCTCAGCGCTCCAGCTGCCCCGGAGCTCATCCCGCTGACCCCAGCTGCTCCCTAACCAGGCGCTCCGGCTCTCCAGGAGCTCCCATCCGCAGCATCCCGCTGATTCCCTAGCCCGGCACCCCAGCACCGACCATTTCTCGGTTCCCTGGCTCTCCAGCTCACCCTTAGCCCCGTCCCTCTGGGGGTCTCCCTCTTCCACCCTCCATCCTCCCCGGAGCCCCCCGGTGACCCCGGCTGTCCCGGCTGTAGAGCCTCGCTGCCCCCCGGCCCCCGGGCCCCCCGGAGCCATGGCGTTCATGGTGAAGAGCATGGTGGGGGGGCAGCTGAAGAACCTCACGGGCGGCCTGGGCGGCGAGGAGAAGAGCGAGGGCGAGAAGTCTCCGGCCGAGGCGCAGGGCATGACCCGCGAGGAGTATGAGGAGTACCAGCGGCAGCTGGTGGAGGAGAAGTGAGTGCGGGCGGCACCGGCACCGGCGCCGGCACCGGCACGGGCTGAGCCCCGGGTCCCTGCGGGAAGGGGGTGCTCCCGCTGCCTCCCGTGCATGGGAGATGGGGGGAGCCGGCGCTGGGGACAGCAGGACCGTGAGGGGGTTTGATGAGCCCCCTAATCCCTTAATCCGCTTCCTCGCCCGGGAGATGGGATTGTTTTCTCCTTCCAGGCTGCTCTGGGGGGAGGAAATTGTGGGAAAGCGGGGCTTTTCAGAGAAAATGGGGGGTGCCGAGGTTGGGGGGAAACGCAAATTCTGGGATGGGCGGCACGGGACGTTGGTAAGTGCCCCGTGTGCTTCACAGGATGGAGAGAGATGCCCAGTTTGCCCAGCGCAAGGCGGAGAGAGCCACGGTCAGGTCCCACTTCCGAGACAAGTACAGGCTCCCCAAGGTACGGCTGCACTGGGACGGGCCACAAGGGGAGCCAGGCTCCAGATGGAGCTCTGGAGTGAGGGGAAGGGACAAGGACCCCCTTGGCTGCCTGGGCTTTGAGTCTCAAAACCCAAATGCAAATAAAATCCCCTCAAAACCGTCCTTCTCCCCAAACTTTGGCCGCTTTCCTTTCCCTCGAGCACCACAGCCCACCAGCCCGAGACAGTGGGACTCCCAGCCTTGCTCGATCACCTTCTCCCTCGCTTTTGTCCCCTAAATCCAGCTGGGTGAGGGAAAACCACCTTCACCCCAGACTCCCTGGAGCCGGGAGTGCAGCCAGGGTTGCACCTTGGAGCTCAGCTCCTCTCCCCGGATTATTTGGTGAACGTCTCCCACCTAAACTCCGATTTTGGAATTTCCGCACGATGAACCATTCACTGAAAACAATTTAATCAAGGCGTAATTCAGCCTTTCTTGGAATTGTCACAAGCTCCTCTGCCTCCAAACCCACCCGTTATTCAGGGAGAGTTGTTCAGTGGTGAATACCCCAAATTGGAGCCGGGCTAATATTAGTTCCAAAGGGTCAGTTGAGCCAAGCGAAATTGCTCTGATTGTTTGGCGTTGTTCAGTCAGCCTGGATTCACCCCCCCTGCTTCCCACCCCCATTTACATCCAGGAAATAAACAGCTAGAGAATTTGTTTTACCCCCTGCCAAAAGCCAGAAAAAAGCAGAAAAAAAGAAGAGATGGAGATTTTTTTATTCTCCAAGGGAAACTGGGATTTGTTTGGATCTGGCCCCACCATCCTTTCACTGCCTTCTTGTGCTTGAGATGTCCCTTCTCATCTTTTGACAAGTTTCTTCTGCTCATTACTGATCCCACTTGGCAGCCGGGCTGCCTCATCCCGAGTCTCCCCGTGGCTCCCGGCTCGGAGCTGATCCCGCCCGCCGCTGGGAGCAGTCGTTAAGCATAAGCCAAGCTTAATTAGGTGCCTAACCCCCCGCAACGCGAGCTGGAAACCAGTCTGTGCTGGTGCTGCGCGTGGGTTTCCATCCCGCCTCTCGCCGTGGGTGCCCAGGCTCCCCTCAGGCTGCATCAACATCCCACCCTCACCCCCAGGGACCTTCCCACATGGTCCTTTACGTGGGAAGACAGCCCAAAGCCCCTCCTGCGATGCTTCCAGAAGCCCCCTTCCCGCTGTGCCATCCCCGCTCCTGACTCTCTCCCGGCCCCTTCCAGAACGAAACAGATGACAACCAGATCCAGCTGGTGGGAGGGGACGTGGAGCTGCCCAAGGAGCTGGCCAAGATGATCGAGCAGGACAACGAGGAGGAGGAGGAGAAGAACTCGGTGATCGGCCAGCTCAGCAACATCCAGAACCTGGACCTTGATTCCTTGAAGGACAAAGCCTCGGCCACGCTAGAGGACCTGAAGCAATCTGCGGAGAAGTGCTCCGTGATGTGAGGGGCTGAGCAGGGAGGGGACGCAGCGCAGGCTCTGGCGGGGGCTGCTGCCTGCAGCGGGGACCCCAGCGACCTTGTCACCCTTGCCGTGTGTCACTCGGGTCCTCCTGAGCCACGTGACCCCTCGAGTCCCTGACCCAGATGTCCCTGATGTGTGGCTTTCGTTTCGTTCTCCGGGCTGAGGTTAGAGCCAAGAGCCAGCATGTGCCCCCCGTACCCCAAAGCCTCCCCCCGTGCCCGGGCAGGGGTGTCCGCAGCCACAGCCGGGGAGGTTGCAGGGAAGGACAGTGACCTCGGGGTGTGAGTGACCTCGGGGTGTGAGTCACTTGGAGCGGTGGCCACACGCTGCGGCTCTGCCTCCACGTTTCCACTCAGCCTCCTGGAAATGACCGGGAGGCTCCGATTTGCCTCGCAAGGACGAGGCAGGGTGTGGAACACGCCCCTCCCCGCGTCCCGTCCCCATCACCCGAGAAACTCCATCCCATCCCTGCCAGGAACACCAAGCCCCGTGCCCTTGAGGGCCCCTCTGAAGGAGGCAGCCGGGAAGGACCTGCTATCCGATCCCTGTGGGAAGGGGGGTGCTGAAGCCTGAACTGACACCAGAGAGGAACAAAAGCCCTCCCTGGTGCTGAGCTGAGCCCGCAGCAGCCCTTCCCCGGAGCAGTGGCGTCCCTCTCCTGGGATGGGATGCTGTCCTTGTTCCTTCCAGGAGAAGAACAAAGCCATGAGGGAACGCCTCCCCGTCCTCCCGCCCGTCGTGCTGTAGTCGTGCCGTGCTCGGTTGAGTGTCCCTCACCTCCTGTGCTGTCCCCGTGCCATGGTACTGTTATAACCGGTGGAATAAATACCAGGAGATGTCTATGCATTTTCTTTTCTCCTCGAGCTCTGTTTTCCTGGGCGAATTTTTCTATTTTCCTGGTTTTGGGGGAAAAAATTTCCTATTTTCCTGGCAGCAGAATCCCAAAGAAAGCACCTGTCTCTCCTAGTTGTGCTCACCTTTGGGACCAAAGGGATGCTACAAGCAGCTCGTTGGCAGCAGTCAGGTTTAAAGCAAACCAAATTCCCATTTTTCTGCATGTTTTTTTGCTATTTTAATACAAAACCTTCAGAACACTCAGTCTCAGGGGCACTGCAGGATGCCCAGTGCACTGCTCCAAGCAAGGACACTCTGCAGGGATGAGCCTGAGCTCGTGCAGGTGTGACTCCCAGCCCTGGTGGCATCCCGGCAGGCAGGGGGCTCCTGTGGCGAGGCTTCCTGGAAAAACTTGGCATGGGCAGGGAATTTATCGCTCCAAATCCCGTGGGAGCTGATTAGCTGCAGTTTGGTTTTGCAAGGAAGGATGGATCATCCAGGAAAACACAGGAGAGGGTGCTGGGAAACGGATCTTGTTGTTGTTATTATTATTATTATTATTATTATTATTATTATTATTATTATTATTGGTGCTGGATCAAGCCATGGCTAGCGCTGCTGCACGAAGAGATTCCTTTTGCCCCCAGCCCCCTGATCAGCCTGTGCCAGGGCCAGGTAGCTCTGGAAACCTCCTGATGTCCGTTCCTGAGAGGACAGACAGACAGACAGAGGCAGCTGAGGCATGGACACACATCCTCCCAGCCCTCCAGTCCCCGGGACCAGGGGACTCCAGCAGCTCCAGGGATGTGAGCTGCCATCAGATCCCGAACCCAGCCCCACAGAGCGCTGGGAGCCGGGGAGCAGCGAGAGGGGAGATCGGCAGGAGCAGCTTTGGCTCTGCGAGGAGATCGTACCTGACGAGGATCAGCCCCAGCTGATCTCATCCCCACCAGGAAAGGGATAGCAGGGAGCAGGCACGGCCCCAGCCGAGCCCTCGCTGTTTAAATCCCAGGCACCACCAACGCTCATCCCAAGGGAGAGAGCGGGATCCCAACCGGAGGGGAGCCACGGGCTGGGATGGAGCGAGGAGAAGTCGGGATGGAGGGATGGGAGGCTGGGATGGAGGAAGGAGAGGCTTGAATGGGTGGAGGATGGGCTGGGATGGAGGAAGGAGAGGCTGGGATGGGGGCAGCAGGGGCAGGCAGCCCCTCCTGCCTTTTCCCTGCCCACCAAGGATGCACCAACGCTCATCCCACGGGAGAGCAGGATCCCAGCGGGAGCAGGGGGCCACGGGGCCGGGGATGGAGCCCCGCGGTTCATCCCCCCACAGCCAGCCAGGACCCCCTCCCGCACCTTTTCCTGCCCTTCTCCTTGCCCTGCCCCCCGTGCCCGACCCCTGGGCTGCGCTCGGCGCTCTCCCGGCCCACGTGAGCCCCGCAAAGGCCGCGTGAAGATCAGCGGGTTTATTTTAGGAGGCACCATGACCCCCAGGCATGTGAAAAGCCAGGCAGCCCCCGCTCCCCCCGCCCGCCTCTCGCGACGTGTTAAGCCTCAGCACAGCGTTCCCGGCAAAGCCGAGCATCGGCAGCTCCGAGGATGCTCCTCCGGGGATGCGCCCCTGCTGCCATGGCTGGGTCACAGCCTGAGCGGGGAGGAGGGGCTGGGATGGAGAGAGGAGAGGCTGGAAAGGAGGCAGGAGGGGCTGGGATGGAGAGAGGAAAGGCTGGGATGGAGGCAGGACAGGCTGGGATGGAGGCAGGAGAGGCTGGGATGGAGGCAGGAGAGGCTGGGATGGAGGCAGGACAGGCTGGGATGGAGGCAGGACAGGCTGGGATGGAGAGAGGAGAGGCTGGGATGGAGGGATGACTCTGGGATTGGGAGATGAGGAGCTGGGATGCAGGGAGGAGAGGCTGGGATAAGGGCAGCAGGGGCAGGCAGCCCCTCCTGCCTTTTCCCTGCCCACCAAGGGATGCATCCCAGCTTCCAGCAGTTCCTGCTGCCGTATCCTGAGCATCCCTGCAGCTTCCATGCCATACAACTGCTCCAGGCATCAACACACATACAAAAATCTTAAAGCAAAGAATAAGTGTGGATTAAAGCAGAAAATGTCTTTTTTTTTCTCTCTCTTTTACAGGTTTTATATAATTTCCTCACCTATGGTGTTGGGATTGGGATGGGTTTGTCCAAGCAAGCTCTTGCTGGTTGCTGGAAGATGCTGGCAGTAAGGAACTTTGTCAATAAAATAAAATAAAATAACTTTTATTGATTGAATAACATAAATTTTATTGACAAAACTCCTGCCCTCCTGCACCAGCCCATTCCTCAGCCAGCTGCAGGATCTTCCTCCTTCCCAGTGGTGAATGTGGGATGAGTGAGTGATTTCCCAAAGGATAAAGCATTAAATGAGAAATTGTTAAAGTGCTGAAACAAATGAGCTGCCACTGAAGGCTGGGGAATCTCCCTTCTCCTTTTTGCAGGCAATTAAACTTCCCTGAGAGTGGCTGTGGGAAGGGATGGCCCATCCATCCACCCACTGCTGGTCCAACAACCAGGATTAATCCAGATTAGAGGGCTGGGAAAGCCCAAGGCTGGCTCCACACACCGACCCAGCTCCCCCCAGCCCACGGTGTGCCTGACCTCACGTCACCCCACGCGCTGGCACCGCCACGGTGACAGCCCAGCTGCCACTCCCCACCTCTCCGGGTGACAACCCGGCCCCAAGAGCCTCCCTGTGAGTGTTGGGAGAGCCCTTTGGAAGGGCTGGGTGGTGGCATGGATGGGACTGGAGAGGAACAGCTCCTCCCTGAGCAGCTGAGTGACAGAGGCCACGCTGCCGGGCCAGGCACCGCCTGCTGTGTGCAACCCTCCTGCGGGAAACCCAGGACTCTTGGACAACTGATCAATATGATTAAGTAGAATCCATTTATAGTTTATCTTATGTATTTATTTATGCATTTTAACTCTACTGTACACGCTGATCGCACATTTCTTATTGGTGTCTTTGTTTGTCCACGTGTTCTGCATGCACTTCTCAGAATACATCATTGGCCACACTCCAGGTGGCTCACAGCTCTCTGTCACCTCTTTCTTGTGGTCTCGGAATTCAGTTCCTTTTCTTCTTTCTTATTTTAGCACCGTTCATTTCTTAGTAACCTTGATGAATTCTAGAGGGCCCCGAGAAAATCCCGATGAGAGCCGTTACAAGCGAAATAACCGGCGCACCGCCACCGCTCAGACACGCCTTCCCTCGGTGACACCTGGGCAGCCAAAAACGCCGGTGCAGGTGACACCGACACCCAGCCCGACTCCAGCAGCCCCAGGGGAGCACCCAGAGCCTCGTGCTGCTCCGAGGGCTGGGGCTGGGCGCGCTGGCGGCCGAGCGTGAAGGCGGATGCGATTATCCGCGCGCTCGCCGTGGGCCGGGGGAGAACACGGGCTGGGAAAGCACTTTAAAGCCTCAGGATATCATCTCTGCTCTGAGTGATAACAATAAAGAGTAAAAAGATATAGAAGTGCCTTGTCGCATCTGCTCGGGAAGCTCCGCGCTGGTTTGAGCACGGAGCAGCCGGCACTGCGGTGGGATGTGGGGGGAAGGCTGTCTTGGGAAGAGGGCATGGCTCAGAATATCTGTGGGACACCCCAAAAATCCTCCTGTCGTTCACTTCAGCCCTTCTGCCTTCCCTCATGGCCCAGCCCGGCCCTTCCTCACCCGCCACAAAAATCTGTTGGAGAAAACAGGATTTTACGTAACGGCTCGTGTTGTTCTGCTCCGTGTTTTCCACACACACACAAAAAAATAGAAAGATGGGAAGTGAAAACAAGGTCAAACCTTGCTTTGGCTGCCTCGTGTCCCTGGGGAGCACAGGAAGGGAGCGCTGCTGGAGCAGAGGAGGGGACACCCCAGCTCTGCTCCTGGGGGAACAGGGACCAGGGTCCCCAGCCCACCTCGATGGCTCCAGGACCCCAGGCAGCTTCTGGGTCCTGGGCTTGCCTGGGGACCCCTCTTAGGCTTAAATCACAAACCTGAGCGTAGAGGAGGTGGAGAAATCAAAATTAAAGTTTATTAAAGACAATAAATTACATTCCCTTGAGATACAGTAGATTTTGAGACAAGTACCTTGTTTCGCAATACAGGCAACATCAGCACCCCGTAACAATGACTCCTGGGAACATGATTTGGATGTTGGGGGTGCCAGGGCCCTGAGGAGTGGAGCAGGGCAGGCAGGACGCTGAGAGTGTCCCCCTGAAGGTGACTGACTGCTGCTCGTGCCCGACAGCACGGTCCCTGCTGAGCACTGCTCACGGTTGTGACACTGACGAGGCAGCCAGTACCCGCCAGGCTCCAGGTTCAGGAAGGAAAAGCCTCATTCCCAGTGCTCCAGCAAGGAGAGGCAG